CATCCGTGGGGGTAGTAAAAGGGAAAAAACGAAATTCCGGTTTTTGGCCCTTTTTGCCTATTTAATTTCGTACAAAAATTCTGAAAAAATTCTAAAACATTGAGGTCCAGATAGCGCATCTTATAGAATTTTTTCAGATTTTTTGATCACAAACTGTAGTCGTGAAAAATCAAAAACCGAAAAAAAATCCGAAAAAATGCGATTTTTTAGTGAAGATGTCGGAGCACTACTTTTATATTAATGTGGTAGTTAGCTATTAGTACAACTATTATTTTCTAATTTTTCAGATTTTTCGGTGAGGTGCGCCGTAGTTAAAAAAATCAAAAACCGATTTTTTCGCGCGAAAAACTAACTTCTGCTTTGAATTTTTATGCCATTTTCCCATAAAAGATGCATTAAGTAATTTTAAGAGGATTTACGTTCACACAATTGATTTATGGATTACAACAATGAAATTAACTTAATTAATTAGTTTTATGGTACGTTCTTTATATACTTAAATGTTTAAAGGGCTTTCAACAATATCGGTGGCGCAGGGGTTATGGCGTCTGACTTGTAAACCGCTACATACTTTTTTTGACGCGGGTTCGATCCCACCCGAACTTATACAGTATTGCCTCGAAACAAGCAACACGCGTGGGACCGGCCAGTTGCTTATTTCGAGGGTGGTATGCTATTCGGCTTGCCTTTGTTCCCGAGCGCGCCGACGGTAGCGGTAAACTATAAAGTAATCGGTCGAGCAGCGATGTTATTCTTTCGACGAGGACAGAACATAACATGCTTTCCCTTTTCAATACTAGTAAAAATTCGCGAATGGAACATGTACATAATACATATTGCCTCGAAACAGGCAACAGTTTCGAGCCTCGAAATTAGCAACTGGCCGATCCCGAGCGAGTTGCTTGTTACGAATCAATGTAGAATCAAATGAATGGATCACGCTCTAATTCCTAACTGGTCACACTTCACCTTATTTTTTTACAATTATGTGAATATCAGTATACAGCTACATATGTATGTGTTGTGTTATTATTGTGTATTGTATATGTATAATTCATATAGTATTATCATATTGTATATACTATTTCGAGATCGTGCAAAAGTATTTTAGCTGCAAAGTGGAAGAACGAAAATGACGGTTTATAGATGTTTAGGTGTAGGCAGTTAAGCCTACCCTAAAGTCTGTAAGTCGGCGAAATTATTTTATGTTTTTTGGACGTGCGTAGCTCAATAGACTACCCTACCATAAACGCTGCCAGCCATGTCCCGTTACGGTTCATTAGGCCACATGGTCAGCACGGGCCGGAAGGACACTTTCGGTTGACAAACTTTAATTTATAATACTTTTTCCCCCGCCGAAAATGGGAAGACTCTGCGAGAAAAATAACTCCACCCCTCAACTGTGTAAGGAGTTACGCCTTCTCCGAAAAGTTTATATATACTGCGGAAGGGCGTCAAAACAGATATAATCAGTCGAGCCTCCAATTCTGCATCATCGAACATTCTATACTGATTCCGTAACATTGTATTCAATAGCATTTCTGTAATATCACACATAGTCTCCATAGTTCACATTAAACACCTTACCTCTTGCAAACACACTATTGCGAGCAATATTTATTCATTTCACACCTAACCTATCTCGCGACAATTGGTGACCCCGACGTGATCGCGACGTGAGTGTTACGTGACTTTGTGAAAAGTTCAGTGACAAAGTGCAAAGACACAGTTAAATATAAGAGACTTCATACAGACATTTACTTAGTTTACATAGAGACACACATAGTTATATTTAGTTCAATAAGTGCGAATTTAGTGTTAGTGATGGCTGATGAAGATAGAGACGTTTTCTTCAGCCCGCAAAAGAGTGGAAATCTGCAGCAAGGATCAAACCCCTTTGAGGTGTCGAACATCGACCGTGTGGGCATCAGAGTTCCACCCTTTTGGTCCAGTAACCCGCTGCTCTGGTTTCATCAATTGGAATCACAATTCGCACTCAACAACATAACTGTGGATTCCACAAAGTACTTTTATGTCACGTCGTTCCTTGATATTAA